CCCCCCCCCCCCCCCCACCGGTCGTTGGACGCACGCACACGCGCGCACACACATCGGTGGAGCCGGTCACCTGCCCGGGAGGGAGGGGGCCCTGGGCACCGGTAAACATTGGAAGGAGGTGAGGCTGTTTCACATCGGCCCCGACCAGCGCCTGCCAATCTGACACCTTGTACGGGCCTTCTGGGGGCGTGCGTGTGCGGCCCTCCGCGCGTCCGGCGTCTCCTCCTCCTCCTCCTCCTCCTGAACAAACACGCTGGGCCGGGGCGTCCGATGTGGCCGGGCCCCCTCCCGCAGGAGCGTCCGGCTTCAGGACCGGGCGCCGGGCCGTCCGGGCGGCCGTCACCGCCGGAGCACGAGAGCCGGCGCGATCCACCCCGTCGAGCCAATGCGTCGGCCACACATGGGCCAGTTCGCGAGCGCGCATGTGTACGCGTGTGCGCGCGCGCATTCACCGGATCGCGCGAGGCCAGGAGGGACGGACTGCCGCATGCGAAGTGGCGCGGCACGAGTTTGTTTGCCCGTCGAGGCCCTGCCCTGCCATGCCTGGTCGGTGCCACAGTAATTACAGCCTCGCGCCTCGCGCCCCCGTGCCCCCGTGCCCCCCCCCCTCCCCCTGCACTTTTCTCTTCCGAGGGCCAGGAGGGGGGCAGGACTGTGAGAAAGTGCGCGGCTCGCCTCCCCGGGGCCGGGGCCCCTGCTTTCGGGGGCTCCTGCGGGCGGTCTCGGGCGGGCGGGCGCGCGCGCGCGCGCGCGTACGTGCGTGGGGCGGCGGCGTGTGGGCGCTCGGCAGGCGCATCGCCCGCCCGGCCGCCTGGGGGATGGGGCTCAGGCTGCATATTGCCCACGATGTCACACGCATACACACATGCACACACATACTCAGACCCACATGCCCGGACAATGCTGGCCCGGAAGCAGAGGGAGCCACAGAGTCGGGGTGCTGGGCGCCGGGCGCCGGGCGCCGGGCGTGGGGCGGGGGGCGGGGGGGGACACAGGGGCAGTCCATACTTTCTTGACACATCTCATTCCCGGGAACCGCCCCCCAGGCTGGCCGCCGAGAAAAGGCCGGGCAATCGCACTTCCCCCCGTCCCCCCCCCGGCAGGACGGGGTTCCGGAGAGACGCCAGCGCCGTGTGCCCACGGTGGTGATATTAAGCATGAAGATGTCGGAACGTGTGCCGGGGAATGGGGGCGCGGGGAGGGGAGAAACAGGCCACCCGGGTCGAGACGGCGACCAGCCAGTCGACGGGGGGGGGGGGGGAGAAAAGCGCCCAATGGGGGCAGGCCTTAACGAGTCCGGCCTCCGGGGGCGGGGAAGGACGGCCATGGAGAAGTGGCCAGCCGGGGACGTCATGCGCCCCGGCTGCCGGGCGGCCAGCATCGATCGCCGTGCCGATTGGAGGCCGCCGCTGGCGAACCGGGGGACCATGTGAGAGCGATCGCCCGGGCGGCACATGTCGCCTGTGGCATGCACTGAGTTTTCCGTGCCCCGGAGCACCACGCCCGGGAAGCCTCAGGCCGGATGAAAGGGGGGGAACATGTGTGGCGTGGCAGAATGGCCAGGCAACGACACCCAGCCCGCGAAAGACGCCACCTTCGGCGCCTGCCGGGCCGCAGGTGGGCGGCGCGAGGCCGAGTGCCGGGCCCCGGGGTGGGGACCGGCGCGAGCAGGGCTGGCAATCATCAACGATGAGTGAGACGAGGGCTGGCCGGTCGTGCGACCAAGAGGTGCCCATGCCGCCTGGGGCGACCGCGCAACCGGCACAACCCGGTCGCTGGGGAGACGCGGGGGGACGCGGGGGGACGGGGGGCCGAAGGGGG